GAATAACGTAAAGGTTTTTCACTTAACTCATGTTTACTTCAATGTTTCGTGGTTACATAAATGCAACCACTCGTCAGAACAGAATCAAACTGTTAGTATTTCAAAATTTCTTTTTATAATTTACTGTAGTTTCAGGGCTTTAATTACCTTTTTGCTTGATGGTTGTTAATTAATTGTTGATTTCACTTCCTCTCTCTTTTTTCATTCTTTCATTCTTTTCTCACTTTCTCCGTTGACCTTCGGTTTATTGCTATTGTGTTATGGTTGGATTTTTGTTTATGTATGTGTGTATGTGGGTCTGTTTTTATGCATGTGCACGCATGTATGTATATACACATACAAGCATGCACGTAGTATTATAGTAATTCATCGAGTCTAGAAGAATACTCATCAGAATGCAATGAACGGTCGTTTGGCCCTATTTTGGGGACTCATCACCAGTGCGCATCCACTACCGAGATTTGAACCTGAACCGTTTCGATAAAACGCAAGCGTCATACCAACTGTACCAACGGGCCTCGGTGACGAAGATGAAACTGAATAAACTCGATATAGCGCCTCTACTCACAAATTCCTTGGTGATACTCATCCAAGTATTCATAACCCAACGGATTGTGCCCCTACAGCCACGACTTTCCTTTCCCCCGAACCGCTCTATCGCAGAGTATTAGATGGGACAAACACTGCCGATGAGTCCTAAATATAGGATGAAACTGCCGTCCAGTGCTTTCTGCATTTGTTGAGGATTCTTCTAGACCCGATGTATTACTATAATGATTTTCCTAAATCCCCAAAATTCAATTACTTATATATATATATATATATATATATATATATATATATATATGAAGGAAAATAGTTTTAGTTGTGCTATATTTATGGGATAAAGTGCTCAATATCAGAGATAGAGCGTGTGTAAATATAAAAGTGAACATTGAAGTCAACACTTAGAGGCGACAGTCTGTTTCATGCGAGACGCAATCGTCAGGCCACGAGTGCTGTTATTTTTCTCGGCTATTTATATATACGGGTCAGTGGTGCATTGTGGGTAGTCTATTTTGGCGTTTATTTTGCCGGAAGTCGTTTATTCATTTGGGTTAAATTATTTTGCTTGTCATTATTTATTTTTATCTTTTATTATTTTTTATTTTTATTTCTTATATATTTATTTTTTATTTTTATTTTAATTGTTGTTTTTATTACCGTTGTAAAGATTTGTTTATACCGCTTATTTAATACTTTTGTTTTGATTTGGAAAGGTAATTAAAGCTATTTATTCAATTTTGGGGTTGATTCTTGTCGTTTATTATAACTATTATTTTGGCGGGAGCAGTTTTTTATTTGTTTATTACTTTATGTATTTATTTGGATTGATGATCTTTATTTGTTTTTTTCTAACAGTTAATTTATCGAGATCGGTTTGTTAATTTGTTTCTTTATTTATTTGGATGAATTTAGATTAATTTATTTTACTTGTTTTTTATTGGTGACAATAATGTGTAACAATATGTGTTTGTCTGTGTGTGTCTTTTGTGTGTATTGTCATATTTCGGAAAAAAACAAATTTTAAAAAATTAAATTTGGATTTAATGTATCATTTATGGACCTGAAAAAATAAATTTAATAAAAAAAAATTTTAATTTTTCATTGTTTGCCTTGTTAAACTCGGAAGATTTTTCCAATTATTATACTTATAACAATTTGTCTTATCCACATGGGAAGCGGAAAGGAAAGAACAAATCTTGATCTCTGTCTGGTGGATTTTCCAAAGAGTGCTGCATTTTGAGCTTGTTCCACACGGACGCACAATCAACGTTAAACTGCATTGTCAGCAACTAGACGGCGTGTACGACAAATCAATTGAGGTCGGGCTTTGTTTCAACAAGACAATACGAGGCCACACACTGTCAAGTTGACTAAGGAGAAATTCAAACAGATGGACGGTGTTGAGATTCTTCCACATCCACCATTCAGGCCCGATGCTGCTCTGTGCGACTATTGCCTACTCTGCTCAATGACACACTTCCTCCGCGATGAAATGAAGGGAGCTTATTTACAGTTTGTTTTTTTTTTTATTCAAAACCAGATTCCTGTTCTTTTATTTCCCTCTCTCTGTTTAATCCTGTTTTCTGATAAACTAGGGTTTTTAAATTTTTAATTTTAAGTTTCAGATGTACTCTGTCAATTTAGTCCTGGTCTTTTATTTTTCTCCCTCAAAAAAAGCTAGACAAAATCAAGCTTAGAATAAGGGCAATACTATTTTTTGCCATTTCGGTGCTTAATTCCAACCCCCAACCCCTAACCTGGTGATTGGTTTGGTTGGTTTTGCTTTACTACATATCAACTCCCATGGGTTATTTAATGCCGACAAAATTGTCATTGCTGGTAATATTTTGTTTTGTCAAAAATCTGTTTCTGGTAATATTTTTTTTCAAAAAACTATTGCTGGTAATACTTTTTCCTCAAAAATGTATAGCTGGTAACAGCTTTTTTTTCTTACGAAATATTTCCGGTATTAAAACCTATTTTTATACTTCATAGTGTTTTTACCCCAGTTTCGGGGTTAACTATTTTCCCATAGCAAAACCCTAACAGGTACTACCACCACGGGTCAGGGCGGACCTGGGAGCACCAGCAATTAAGAGGTGATTCCACGCTCCTCAAAACCTCCTGATCAGAAGCCTTACTGCTGGACGTAGTTTATCGTCTTACCCAGGACGGCCCATCTAGTGAGTCTAATAATAAAAATTGGACTATGGATCACTGCTTCGACCGCTTTCCCCATCGCCCTAACGTCGTTTCTCTGTGTATTTTCTATAAAGATTTTCACGGTAATCGTTCTGATGAGATTTCCTCATTGGTACATTGTCATTACGAATTTAACCACAGTACTAGATTGGCAGTTAGGTCTCATAATTTCACTGCTGAAATTTCTGGTTGTCTTTTCTATAAATATTTTCACGTTAATTGCTCATTTGTAACTGGGTTTCACGAATTTAACCGCAGTACTAGATTGGCAATTACCTTATTCCTCTTTTCCTTTCGCCTTCACTATATCCTGCGAGTGTTAAATTTTCCAAGCGATCTTTCCTCATTACGTGCCATAGAAATTTCATCTCATTCTGAGTAGTTTGATTTCATTTAAGACCGCTGACAAAGTACAAGGATTAAGCTTTTTATTCATTTTTTCTAATATTCGTACAAGTATTTTCTTTTCTGGAATAAAGTGTGTAAAACTGTCCAAATGTTGAATATATTCGAACGCTTTCGGCTATTCTATTAGCTATTATCAAAGATTTTTGAAAAACAATTCAACAGAATATGCAGATTTTTTTTTATAGTGATGCCGATGTATTTTCGTTTCCAAACACGGTCAGCACGCGTGGCGGTGTGCTTAGTTGATATTATTGCATGTTGCCTTTTCCTTGTTTAAAATGTGGAGGGGACTATTATTGTCGTATTTTCCACCGGTATGTTGCGACCGGAGTTTGATGGGTTTCTATGTGTGTTTAAATAATTCTAATTGAGCTATGATTTGAGAAGTGTAACGTGAGTCTTCGTGATAAGCATATAGTAGTGTGTCCAATATAATTATTCTTTTATCCAATGGGCCACGTGTCCTTGAGGAAGGTTATGGTGTACAACGGCCGAAACGTCGTGAATGTGGCAATAAAGATGAAGACAGTAGTTCAAACAATGTGAATAATATAAATAATGACAATACCTAATCTCAGAAATATAGGCTGATTCTGAAGAAGGCCGGAACGTACAACGGCTGAAACGTCGTGAAAATGGCTATAAAGATGAGGAGAATAGTTTGACCAATGCAAATAATATAAATATTTACAACACATCTCAGAAATATAGACAAATCCTGAAGAAGGCCGGAGGATACAATGGCAGAAACGTCGTGAATATGGCAATAAAGATGAGGACAACAGTGCGAACAATCCAAATAATGTAGATAATTACAATGCCTCATCCCAGAAATAACGTTACTCGTCATCTATCTTTGAATTCTGTTCTTTAATTGTTCTTTAAGATTCTTTCACTCCCGGTAACATCTTGCATCTTAGTGGCTTTATTTCCTTGCTTGGGGTGAAACGATGAAAAAACGAAATTTTGCTATAATATTACAAATTCTACTGCTAAGAATTGACATGGTGTGGAAACGATGATTCCTTTAAGAGATTTCTCGTCGTAACTTTTATTTACAGAGCATTTCCTCCGGTGAAGTGTCTATTTTTCTACTCCTTACTTACTGTGTAGGGATGTAAAAGAAATAGCCATGTTTAAGTAATTTCTTACCAATGTTTTTCCTTGCATCTAATTTGTTTTCCATTCGTAGACTTTATTTACATTTATATAATCACATGATCAATCATAAATACGTTTTGTTAAACTCTCAGATTCGTTTTTCATCTATTCTAGACATCTTGGCAAACATTCTCAAGCGTTGGCAAACTTCCCCCTCTGCCCAACCCTGTACATCAGATTTCTATTTTAGTCTAACTATCCCGTCCCGGCAAAACAGGAACAAGCTGAATGCTTTGATATCAGAGGCTCTACAACATTCATTTGAAAAGCACGCAACGCCTATCAGTTTGTGAATAGACTGTTTGAAATTTCTTTTCAGGTTTTATTTTGTGTTTTTAATGGTAATTTTGGAATTCATGAAGACAAATTATCGCTTAAATGGACGTATTTGACTAAAATGAATTGTGGATTAATTCTAGTGGAGCGTGGATTTAGTCAGTACTTGTATGAGGAGTATTGGAACGGCGAATGGAAGACGAAATGATTTTATCTAAATTTCAGGTTCAATGACTCAAACGAATAGCCTACTGAATAAAGCGTTCAATCAAGCGTAAGAATGATTTTCGTATCTGTTGGATCGATATTTTGGGCTTCGATCATTGTTAAGGCAAAAGAAATAGATCTGTCAGCCTTTAGCACTCACGGTCAATTAATTTACCTGTGGAATAACGAGTTGACCACAC